AACAATACTGATATATAACAATACCGATAACAACGACTATAACAATACCGATAGCATTAACAATACCGATAACGACTTTAACAATACCGTTAACATCAATGACTATAACAGCAATACCTATAACAAGACAGATATATATCTATACCGATAACAACAACTATAACAGTACTGTTAACAACGATAACTATAACAACTATAACAATATCTATAACAGCAATGCCTATAACAATGCCGGTATATACCAATACTGATAGCAACAATGACTATAACAATACCACTACAAATAACTATAATAATAAAGATGAAATGTTAATGTCCGTCCATACTAGCCCACAATAACTGACTATAACAATACTGATATATAAAAATACTGATAACAACAATGACTGTAACAAAACCGATAACAACAATCACTTTAGCAATACCTAAACCAACGACTATAACAAAACATATACCAACAATGACTTTAACAATAACAACAATGACTTTAGCAATACCGATAACAACGACTATAACATTAACAACAATGACTTTAGCAATACCGATAACAATGACTATATCATTAACAACGACTTTAGCAATAGCGATAACAACGACTATAACATTAACAACAATGACTTAAGCAATACCAATAACAATGACTATAACAATAACAATGATTTTAGCAATACGGATAACAACAACTATAACATTAACAACAATGACTTTAGCAATACCGATAACAATGACTATATCATTAACAACGACTTTAGCAATAGCGATAACAACGACTATAACATTAACAACAATGGCTTAAGCAATACCGATAACAATCACTATAACAATAACAATGATTTTAGCAATACGGATAACAACAACTATAACATTAACAACAATGACTTTAGCAATACTGATAACAACGACTATAACATTAACAACAATGACTTTAGCAATACCGATAACAACAATGACTATAAGAAAACACATACCAACAATGACTATAACAATAACAACAATGACTATAAAATACCACTAAAAATAAATTATAATAGTAAAGATAAAGTAATAATGTCAGTTTCAACACCAGCCCACAATAACCGACATTGACCATAACAATACTAATATATAACAATACTGATAACAACAATGACTATAACAATACCGATAAATTCCAATACTGATAACAACAATGACTATAACAATACCGATATATTCCATTACTGAAAACAACAATGACTATAACAATACCGATATATTCCAATACTGATAACAACAATGACTATAACAATACCGATATATTCCAATACTGATAACAACAATGACTATAACAATACCGATATATTCCATTACTGAAAACAACAATGACTATAACAATACCGATATATTCCAATACTGATAACAACAATGACTATAACAATACCGATATATTCCAATACTGATAACAACAATGACTATAACAATACCGATATATTCCAATACTGATAACAACAATGACTATAACAATACCGATATATAACAATACTGATAACAACAACGACTATAACCATACCGATATATAACAATACAGATAACAAAAATTGCTTTAACAATACTAATATATCTTAATACTGATAATAACGACTATAACAATACCGATATATAACAATACTGATAACAACAATGACTATAACAATACCGATATATAACAATACAGAAAACAACAATGACTATAACAATACTAATATATCTTAATACTGATAATAACGACTATAACAATACCGATATATCCCAATACTGATAACAACAATGACTATAACAATACCGATATATAACAATACCGATAACAACGACTATAACAATACTGATAACAATATATCACAATACCGATAAGTATATCAGCGACTGTACCAACCGATAACTATGACAATACCAATACCTTTTCCAAATCTGATGTACAATACATATCAGCATCGGTATAACTATATTAGTATCCACAGCAGCTAACAATGACTAAAAATAATAACCATAACTAAACCGATAACTATGATAATATCGATAACTGTGGCAATAACAGTAACTATATTAGTGGTAATGTTGTTTATTCTACATTTTTTCACTTAAATGCTCCAACGCTTTACATCTGGATGGATTCTGATTGGCTGTCAATGTTTTCATAGTTCATCAGCCGAAACTATAATCCTGATAGTGATTTGTGTGTTTTTCACAGCGCAGCGGGATTCAATATTAGAGTTTGAGTTTATCATCGCCGTAAACGCGTCGTAAATCAGTCTGAAACACATCCGCACGCATGACATCATTTCAGGAGTTATTTCTGAACTCTTGATCTCGGTAATGTTCTGCTGCCGCGGGTTTAAATGTGTGGCTAGATTAATTCAGTAATAAAACGAGTGTGTGTGTGTGTGTGTGTGTGTGTGTGTGAGAGAGAGAGAATCCTGTTCCAACCAATTAACACCTTTTTTCATTTGTCTCCAGATTCGTTCGTGGCTCTGAACGGTGAGTGAAACGCTCCATCTTCTTCTTCTTTCTCTCCTCATTTTCAGACTCTCATTAGCCGAGTGTTTCATGTCTGTAATGGCTTTTCTTGTAGAGCTCCAGCGCAGGAGTGATTTTACCCAGAATGCTCCACGCGGTCAGTTTCTCCAGTCTTTCTGTGTGTAGCTGTAGTGTTTGTTAGAGTCGCTGCTCATTGATTCGCTCTGACCTTTCCTTCTCTAATTGGATCTCTGTGGTTCACAGAGCACAGGATTGTGGGTTAGAGATGGTCAAATGCAAATGATGTTTACAGGGAATAAACACTGGCGCTTCCTCCCGAGACCCAGCAGAAATTATTCATGAAATACAATCAGGACAAAAACAGGCCGATGATGGAGAGCGGAGTCCCGGACGGCGGTTGTGACCTACATAAAGCGGAGTTCAGATCTTCAGCTGAGCTTCAGAGTTTCAGCTCTCTGGCCTTTATACAGCTCATAATGTGTGTTTATGTTTTAAACACACACACACACACACACACACACACACACACACATGCAGACGGCTGGTTATTCCTTCAGCTGCTGGTTTAGACACGGCTTTTCTCCTCCTCTTCTTCTCGTATGTGTGTCAGCGTCCGCCGGCTCTTCCTCTGGCGGAGGAAAATGAATTATAAAATAGAGCTGTCACACTAATCTGGCGGCCCGTGGCGCTTTCTTAAATAAATCATTTTAATGACTGCGGCTGGAGCTGCTCGGCGCGGCGGTAAACAACAGAGAGTTTATCAGTGGATTAACACACGCTGGCTTTGATCAACCGTCCTGAGATTCACTAATTCTGCTTATTTATCAGCCAATCTCTCTTGACCTGAAATATGAAGTGTGATGCTTCAGGAGTTCAGCAGATGAAGAGTGAGATCTGAGGATGCTTTAGTGAACTGATGTGTGCTGTAGGAAACTAGAAATGAGTTAGTAGACTAGATTAGCGCAGCTGACGTCAGATTGATTTAGGTTTTTCAGTTTCACCAGCCTGATCTCACCAGGAAACCTGAGTATTTGACGTTTTGTCAGTTTAGTGGCGAATTCGTACGAGTTCAGTCGTATGAAAACTGTACGATTTTAAAAAGGAGGCGTGGCACCTAACCCCACCCCTAACCCTAACCGTCATTGGGTGATGAGCAAATCGTACTAAATTGTACGAATTAGATCATATGAATTCATACGAATTAGCCGCTTAATCAAGAAGTTACGAGTTGCCGTGAGATTGCGTTGGGGTCACACATCAGTGATGAACGTAATCCTGCTTATTACTCACATCCAAAGCAAATCAACCAGTAGATGTGAAATGCTGATTATAATGTGGATTACAGTGTGAATGGTGTTGAGATGGGCGGATAAACAAGCATACACCTGCTCAATCATGATGACTGTGATGACGTTGGGTTCAGGTTAGGTTTTGGGGCAGGCCACGGAAATATCATTAACCTCAGAGATAAGATGTCCCGTCCTCACTAAGATAGAAAAACAAACATGTGTGTCTCAGATGTTGATGTGTGCTGAGTGTTAAGCGTGTGTGTACAGGTTTATGTGGTTTATGAGGACGCACAATTATATAATGACATTGGTATGACCTAGTTAAGGTGGTTTACGAGGACAGGTGTCCTTATAATTCAAAACACTTCCTGCTCAAAATTTGCCACAGGTTTAGGGAGGGTGGGGTTAGTGCAGGGGGAGGGGCTTATAATCAGGGTTTTTACTGTATAAAATATGTCACGCCTGTGGAGAGTCCTCATAAACCATATACAGCTGATGTCAGAATTATGAGCCCCTTTGAATTTGTTTTTCTTATTTAAATATTTCCCAAATGATGTTGAACAGATTCAGGAAATGTTCACAGTGTGTCTGATAATATTTTATCTTCTGGAGAAAGTCTTATTTGTTTTATTTTGGCTAGAATAAAAGCAGTTTTAAATTTTTTTAAACCTCATTTTAAGGTCAATATTATTCGCCCCTTTAAGCTATTTTTTTTCCGATAGTCTCCAGAACAAACCATCATTATACAGTAACTTGCCTAATTACCATAACCTGCCTAGTTACCCTAATTACCCTAGTGAAGCCTTTACATGTCACTTTAAGCTGTATAGAAGTGTCTTGAAGAATATCTAGTCTAATATTATTTACTGTCATCATGACAAAGAGGAAATAGATCAGTTATTAGAGATGAGTTATTAACACTATTATGATTAGAGATGAGCTGGAGAAATCTGCAGAACAGATATTGGGGGAAAAACAATTCAGGGGAACTAATAAGTCTGACTTCAAGTGTATGTATATGTGTGTGTGTGTGTGTGTGTGTGTGTGTGTGTGTGTGTGTGTGTGTGTGTATGTGTGTGTGTGTGTGTGTGTGTGTGTGTGTATGTGTGTGTGTGTGTGTGTGTTTGTGTGTGTGTGTGTGTGTGTGTGTCAGCTGTTGACATGTATATGTGTGTGTGTATGTGAGTGTATATGTATCTCAGCTGTCGACATGTATGTGAGTGCATGTGTGTGTGTGTGTCTCAGCTGTTGACGTGTGTGTTGTCTCCATCAGGCCGTGTCTCCTCCCCCTCAGTGTCTCCAGCAGTGGTCAGTGTTCCTCTGGGTCGGGGTCGAGTGCTGAAGGATCACCAGGAGCCGCTGGTGTCCGGGTCCTCAGAGACGCAGCAGGAGAGCGCGGGTAAGCCTTGGAACGACACCTGTGGAGGACAAAAACACACACACACACACACACACACACACACACACACACACACACTGCTTCATCTGACCCACAAACACTCTGAACCGGCAGACACACTTGTAACACACACACACACTGTACGGGCAAACATGACGTGTCTGACTATCACTAGCTGTGTTTCCATCCCAAGAGGAGCATTAGATTACTGAGGGAGACTGTAGGTGACGCGGTGGCGCAGTCGGTTCACCTCACAGCACTCAGGTCTCTGGTTTGAGTCTCGGCTGGGTCAGTGTGTGTTTCTGTGTGGAGTTTGCATGTTCTCCCCGTGTTGGTGTGGGTTTCCTCCGGGTGC